AGAACCAAAATCCGCCAACGTTGATTCTTTACTGCGGCTGGAATATTCATTTTTAGAGCGTTAGTGAATTAAAAAAAAGCAGTATAAAAACCGGAATGTCCAACTGATAAGGCTGAACATTTTTTCACTTGTTATTTACAGTAAGATAAATACATTCACCAACTTTTATTAAAATAAAAACATTTAAACTGGGTGTTCGGATTTATATGTCACTTAGTATATAATAGATAGCGCAGAAATAGTGCTACGTCTTTTTGAAAGCAGAACTGCTCCTCAGGCAATATATTGTTTATAAGTAAACTTAAAAATTTGTTTGTAGATTATATAATGTGTTATCAGCCTGTCTATGAACACTTTTTCCTTGCAGCGCCTTCATGACATTAGTAAATCATACCATTTATTATACTCGAGAAACTCCTAATCCGTTTTCAACAAATTGCTGTCAAGAAACCAGTTACTCTTGCATATCTGCATATAGAAAACGTTTCAATCGTTTTGACTGTACCTATACAGGGTGACTTTGAAGTTGAGTCATTAATTTTCAGATAATGATTGTAGAAGGAAGATAAACCAAAATATGTGTGTAAAAATAAAAAAAAAATTTACCTTGTTTTATAAAGTATCCTCCCGACAAGTATTTCAGTGCGGACCTGTATTTGATCGTGAGGTCTTGGAGCTCCGGCATGCCGTCCATATGTGAGGTCTTAAGTCAAATGATTCACGAACCCGTTGTACTACATTAACAAAGGCACGAGGGGTTGGTTGCACTCGATTGGGAAACCGATCCGCATAAACATGTACCATTTTTTATTTCGTTTGAGCCCCGCAACAGTTACACCACTATTCACTACCGACTGACACTGACTGTATACAACTGAATGAAATAATTGTAAAAACATCGTTCCAAATTCTTTCGCTTTTTTGTTTCCGATGCGATGAACCGATAAGGCGAATTATATCCGTTGTCGCCAAACACGAGCACATAATATTATTATTGAGACAGGGCGGTACTCTAACTTCCAAAGGGCTATAACTTTGTTACTTCAATTTTACCAGAAAAATGGTAAAGGAAAAAACATTTCTTTTGATCAGATCTACTCACTGTTAAAATAAATGACTCAACTTCGAAGTCACCCTGTATAAGTATACACTCTCATGGCGAAAGTTTATGTCTACCCTTACGGTGTGGCTATACAGCGCTTTGCTACCATACTGCGTCAACTAGATGGTAAATGCGTTTCTACAGATTACCGAATTGTCAGTTCGAATCCTACCAGCAACAGATTTTTTTCTGTTTACAGTCTTCTTTATGACGGAGGCTAGATTTCTACAAAGTTACTAAACCGTGTTATTCAACGTAAAAGGACATTCCGTTTGCGGTAACATTTTACGAGGTCTTTCGTCGTCGAACAAGATTACTATTTGGTAGCAGCACTTCGACAAATTGCCCGTTCTCCAACCGCCAACCAGTTAACGACTACATAAATGGAAAGGTCCCTTATAATCTCTATACATAAGAAATCCTGAGATGCTTTCCTTCTCCCCAACAGTGTATTTTCCGCTCTTTTATATTCCGCGTTTTCTTAACACACAACGACGCAAGGTTTAGTTTCCTTCAGGCGAAAAATAATGCCGCGTTGACGTTGGTACATTTATACTGCTCCAACCTTAGCAGTTAGAAGTATTTCGCGTATCGTTTATCCTTAAAACTTGAAAATATGTAACTCCAACAGTCGCGTGTCAATGCGAGCGACGTGGTGCCCCGATGGACGAGCGTCGTCGTCGGTGGTCGTAGGTCACTGTCGGCAATCGCTTCCGCTGGCGTGGGCTGTTTGCGCTGTGCATGGTGAAGGCCAATATCGCGGGATTGGTCATAGGCGTAGATCATGTTCGTAGCTAACTGTTTTTTCAGAAAGGCTAACTTGTGCCAAACAACATTTTATATTTTTTAAAAGCTGTTTTGGTAATTTTAACCGATTTATATTCTTTGTGACGTACTGTATATCTGTATATACAGTATATCTCCAATTTCAATGTTTTCCAACGCCGCGTTAAAGGTCTATTTATGGAAAATCCTTTTAGGAATACTTAACATCAGACTTGGATTGAATTATTGCATATAATTTATTGTCAATCAGTTTTCAACCTGTTCGTGTCATTTTTTTGTTTATTTGTTATTAATCCACATCTTTTTAATCTGTTTGTTTACGTTATTATTTTGTGTTCATCAAGTTTGTATTAGTTAATTTCTTATAGCTTTGACTTTAGTGTTGACTGGATGACAACTTTTTAAGTATCTTTTTTTCATTCCATGTTCCTTCACAATTTGCTGATACTTTTCAAGTCAAATGGCAATAAAGATATACTAAGTGACATATAAACCCGAACACCCAGTTTTGGTTTTATTTTAATAAAAGTTGGTGAATGTATTTATCTTTCTGTAAATAACAAGTGAAAAAATTTTCAGCCTTATCAGTTGGACACTCCGGTTTTTATACTGCTTTTTTTTAATTCACTAACGCTCTAAAAATGAATATTTCAGCCGCAGTAAAGAATCAACGTTGGCGGATTTTGGTTCTTGACATCCTTTACGATCGGTTACGATGCCTAGAGTACGGAAACCTGTACGATTTCGTCAACTTGTGAGTTTGATAGGGGCCGTATAGTGGGACTTCGGGAAGCTGGACTTTCTTTTCGGGCAATTGCAGTTAGAGTGCAAAGAAGTGTAGACACTGTGGTTAGGTGTTGTCAGGCATGGCTTCGAGAAGGATGTACGCAAAGAGCAAGGGGCACTGGACGCCGCCGTAGAACAACAGACCGTGAAGATCGCCGCCTAAGATTATTGGCCTTAAGGGACCGTTTCTCCACTACCAGGTCCATTGCAAATGAATGGTTTGCAGAACACGGAAGACCTATTGGCATGTGAAGTGTTTACCGACGAATGAGAAGTTTTGGCTTGTTTTCATACCGGCCACACTGGGTCCTCCCTTTAACTCGAGAACACCGACGTAATCGCCTTGAGTGGTGCAGACAACGGTCACTCTGGGATCAGGAATGGAACAGTATTGTCTTTACTGACGAGTCTCGATTTTGTTTAGACATGCACGATGGTCGTGCCAGGGTTAGAAGGCGACGTGGTGAAAGGAGGAATCCACAGTTTTTTGTTGAAAGACATGTTCATCACATTGTTGGAGTTATGGTTTGGGGTGCTATAGCTTATGGTTCCAGGTCACCTTTAATCTTCATCAGAGGTAACATGAACGCGCAGCGTTATATCCACGAAGTTCTAGAACCCCATCTTTTACCCTATCTTGACACCCTGGCAGATCCAACTTTCCAACAAGATAATGCACGACCACATGTTGCAAGAGTCACAATAGACTTCATTCAACATAATGATGTCACATTGTTACCATGGCCACCAAGATCTCCCGACTTATCCCCAATTGAGCACGTGTGGGATATGGTGGGTAGGAGATTGCTCAATTTGCAACGTCCTCCTCAGACTCTAGAAGCACTTCGAGAGGAGTTGGTGGTTGCCCGGAATGAGATACCACAGGAGGACATTGACCACCTGATCAGAAGCATGCCTAGGCGCGTTGGAGAATGCGTAGCACATCAGGGTGCATCCACACATTATTAAAGGTCAAAGGGCTTCAAAGCAGTGCAATCATTTTGAAATTTTTATCATTTACTTATTATGCTTCATCAAGTACTTATACAAAATTTTATTAAAATAAAACCATTTAAACTGGGTGTTCGGATTTATATGTCACTTAGTATAATTTATTGTCAATCTGTTTTCAACCTGTTCGTTCGTCATTTTTTTGTTTATTTGTTATTAATCCACATCTTTTTAATCTGTTTGTTTATGTTATTATTTTGTGTTCATCGTGTTCATCATGTTTGTAATAGTTAATTTATTGTAGCTTTGACTTTAGTGTTGACTGGATGACAACTTTTTAAGTATTTTTTTTCATTCCATGTTCCTTCACAATTTGCTGCTACTTTTCAAGTCAAATGGCAATAAAGATATTATTATTATATTGTATATTCTTTATTTAATTTCGAAAAATCTTTCTGTATAATATTGCTGAAATTTCAACTAACAATAAGCTCTCTTTTGTTCTAGGTAAGTAAAAACTTCTTTACCTGGGACCAGCTGGTAAGAAAAAGACAACTTTAATTATTTTAAACCCTATATATAGGATTGTCTAAGGAGAAAAACAACGACCTTCGAAAATAAGTAGGATACAGCATCTCAGTGTTTGTTGCTTATTAGAAGCATTCAGTATTTTTGGTTTGAAACGGAATTGCATAAACGTACTCACAATAAGCCATGTCACAATGCTACTAAAAATACACCAGAGCGGTTCTCATTTTGGAGCTAAAATTACAGTTTCCAGAACAAGCCACTACCTTGCGTGTTTCTATTCCGAACGTATATTGACTAAAATCCACGACCTCGGAAAGCTCTATCGCTCGTTGACTATCCATACGAGTTTGAAATAAAACATTGTGGAATGCATATGAATTTGAAAAATTAAAAACAATCCATCAGCTTCAAAATGAAAATAAACGTAAAAAATGGCAGTATCGTTGGGAAAAGTGTAAGTTGAAAAATAAAAATAATTTTTTTGGAACAAATGGTTTCTTCGTTTCTAACACGAGTACTTATTGAACCGCCCTCGTATGTGGGAAGTAGTATACTGCGGTGATTGCGTTTGAGAAATATTAAATATAAAGGAACTTTCCTTTTTTTGGGACACCCTACAGTCTGATTAGTTGCTCATACATACCGTTTGTTCAGGAGCTGATACCATACATCATAAAATATCTGATACCGAACGACGATGAACAGATTTTATCTCCGAAGCTTATTTTCCGCATAATATATCTAGCTATTTATCAGTTCATCAGTTTCCCGCTGTATACACTGTCGTTTTCCGCGCCACCACCTTTCATCGATCTGTCGCTAGGGCTTCAGTCGATAATTACTTTTACGTAGATGGTTGTAGGATGTACGTCACGTTTATAGGGTGATTCTAAAATAAATATTATGAAAAGTTTGCATAAACATAGAACCTAAGTGTCCCCTGGCTAAGGTGACAAAAACTTATTACTGATATTCTTCAAATAACATTGAGGTGAGATGACATTATTGCGCTAATAGACTGTCAAACTTCGGTAACTTCGCTGTATTTTGAAAATATTAAAAAAATATTTCGTATTTGAGCGATTTATTTCAAAAAAGAATTTGTCAGGAGAGGCACTTCACGAAAATTTAAATATTAAAAATTTAATACTTCTACTCGTCTTCTTCTTCCTACTTTATTAATAGGCCATCTGTTTCTAGGTCGTCCCATTGATCTTCTTCCATTTGGCGATTTGTCTCTTGCTATTCGTACTGTCCTATTTTCTGTCATTCTTTCTATGTGTTGGTTCCATTCTATTTTTCTTCTTTTGGTCCACAGGTTTATTTCCTCTATACCACATCTCGTTCGTATTTCCTCACTTCTTACTCTGTCTCTGAGAGTTTGGTTTGTTATTTTTCCTTTCTGCTGTTTCCAATAATCTTTGTGTTTTCGCCGTATCTGCTCTTGTTTCCGCTGTGTACGTCATTATTGTTGATTTATATATCCTAGTTTTCGTTTCCGTTGTGAGGTATTTGTTTCTCCAGATTGTATTGTTGAGACATCCTGCTGCTCTGTTCGCCATGTTAACTTGTTTCTGTACTTCTTCTTCCACTTTTCCATAGCTTGACAGTTTGATTCCCAAGTATTCCGTTTCCATCACTTGTTCTATTATTTTGTTATTTACCGCCAGTTTACATCGTCTCGGTTCCAGTGATATCACTATCGATTTAGTTTTCTCTGTTGAAATCACCATGTTGTATATGAGCGCCGTATCTTCGAATCCTTTAATTAATCTTTGTCATATTCATTTTCGGCTATTATTATGGCATCGTCGGCGTAGCATATTATCTGCATTTCTTTTCCTCCCGTTCTATATCCTCTTCTTTTTTTAACTTTCTTTAAGATTTCATCCATTATCAGATTAAATATTAGTGGGCTCAGCGAATCTCCTTGACTAATGCCAGTTTCATACTTGCTAGGTTGCGATACTTTTCCTTTACATCTTACCATAGCTATGTTATCTTTATATATATTCTCAATAGTTTTTACTAAATCCAGTGGTATTCCCCTGTCATATAATAAATGTATCGCATCCCGAATTCTCACTCTATCAAATCTATCAGGCACATATTTGATGGTTTGTTGTATTCCAGCGACTTTTCTTTTATTTGTCTTATTACAAACACTGCATCCGTGTATGATCTTCTTGTCCGTAATCCTTGCTGTTCCTTTTGCAGAGTTATTCGTTCGTTTATTTTTGTCGCTATTATCCTTGTTGTCAATTTGAGTGTTGTATTTAACAGATGCGCGATAATTATTGGGGTCTTTATCTCCTTTCTTGAAGAACATCAGCATGATCGCTCTCTTCCATTCATTTGGTATTCTGTTCCTGGTGATTATTTTTTTAATAAAGAATTGCAGTTATTGTTCAAGGTAATCACCTCCATATTTTAAGAGTTTATTTGGTATTGGATCTTCTCCTGGTGACTTTCTATTTTTTAATTTAGTTATTCCTTGTTGATCAGTTATTATGTTTGGCGTTTCTGGTAAAGATTCTTCGTTTTCTTTTTTGAAACAATTCATACTTCTACTCAATGGTGTAAACAATATTTCCTTTCTTTTTTGTACAGGTCAAAATTACCTGTTTCTCCACTTCTGGTTTAGGTTGTGCAAAGAAATTTGTTTATATTGCTTTTTTATTTTAAGTCGACACCTTTATCTTCCTAAATTCAACTGTTTGTCTTGGCAAGGGGGCATTCCAGTGCCTAGCCCTGGAAATATTTTCAACGTGATCACCCTGTACTGCTTTATCTTCCAGGATATTTAAAATCTGTCCCTGACAGACTTCAAACATAATTATAAAGTCATCCAAACTGAAAGTATTGATCTGTTTAACTCAAAAGCTGTGAGATTAAAGTTTTGATTAGCTTGTGCTGCACACCTGACCTACTTCAGGTGTAGATATCTCTCTCTCAAAAATAAAATAAACAGCATAAAATTGCAGTATTCATTTATTTTTTTCTATTATTTGTCCTTAAAAGCATATGGTGACTCCTATGAGGTTAAACGCCATGTCCGTTCATTAACCATAACGTCCAATTATCGTCATTTCCAGTCACAATTTATGGAATGAGAATATTAAGAACATTGCCCGCCCGCAGTGGACATCCTCCACAATGTCCGTCCATTAACGACAGTGCCCAATTATCGTCATTGCCAGCCACAGCTTATGGCTAGGATACGATTTTAAAATAAGAATATTAAGAACATTGTCCGCCAGCAGTGGACATTCACCATAATGTCCGTTCATTAACCATAACGTCCAATTATCGTGATTTCCAGTCACAATTTATGGAATGAGAATATTAAGAACATTGCCCGCCCGCAGTGGACATTCTCCACAATATCCGTCCATTAACGACAGTGCCCAATTATCGTCATTGCCAGCCACAGTTTATGGCTAAGATACGATTTTAAAATAAGAATATTAAGAATATTGTCCGCCAGCAGTGGACATTCACCATAATGTCCGTTCATTAACCATAACGTCCAATTATCGTCATTTCCAGTCACAATTTATGGAATGAGAATATTAAGAACATTGCCCGCCCGCAGTGGACATTCTCCACAATGTCCGTCCATTAACGACAGTGCCCAATTATCATCATTGCCAGCCACAGTTTATGGCTAGGGTACTATTTTAAAATAAGAATATTAAGAACATTGCCCGCCAGCAGTGGACATTCACCATAATGTCCGTTCATTAACCATAACGTCCAATTATCGTCATTTCCAGTCACAATTTATGGAATGAGAATATTAAGAACATTGCCCGCCCGCAGTGGACATTCTCCACAATGTCCGTCCATTAACGACAGTGCCCAATTATCGTCATTGCCAGCCACAGTTTATGGCTAGGATACGATTTTAAAATAAGAATATTAATATTGTCCGCCAGCAGTGGACATTCACCATAATGTCCGTTCATTAACCATAACGTCCAATTATCGTCATTTCCAGTCACAATTTATGGAATGAGAATATTAAGAACATTGCCCGCCCGCAGTGGACATTCTCCACAATGCCCGTCCATTAACGACAGTGCCCAATTATCATCATTGCCAGCCACAGTTTATGGCTAGGGTACTATTTTAAAATAAGAATATTAAGAACATTGCCCGCCAGCAGTGGACATTCACCATAATGTCCGTTCATTAACCATAACGTCCAATTGTCGTCATTTCCAGTCACAATTTATGGAATGAGAATATTAAGAACATTGCCCGCCCGCAGTGGACATTCTCCACAATGTCCGTCCATTAACGACAGTGCCCAATTATCGTCATTGCCAGCCACAGTTTATGGCTGTGGTGCGATTTTAAAATAAAAATATTAAGAATATTGTCCGCCAGCAGTGGACATTCACCATAATGTCCGTTCATTAACCCTAACGTCCAATTATCGTCATATCAGTCACAATTTATGGAATGGGAATATTAAGAACATTGCCCGCCCGCAGTGGACATTCTCCACAATGTCCGTCCATTAACGACAGTGCCCAATTATCGTCATTGCCAGCCACAGTTTATGGCTAGGGTACTATTTTAAAATAAGAATATTAAGAACATTGCCCGCCAGCAGTGGACATTCACCATAATGTCCGTTCATTAACCATAACGTCCAATTATCGTCATTTCCAGTCACAATTTATGGAATGAGAATATTAAGAACATTGCCCGCCCGCAGTGGACATTCTCCACAATGTCCGTCCATTAACGACAGTGCCCAATTATCGTCATTGCCAGTCACAATTTATGGCTGGGGTAAGATTTTAAAATAAGAATATTAAGAACATTGCCCGCCAGCAGTGGACATTCACCATAATGTCCGTTCATTAACCATAACGTCCAATTATCGTCATTTCCAGTCACGATTTATGGAATGAGAATATTAAGAACATTGCCCGCCCGCAGTGGACATTCTCTACAATGTCCGTCCATTAACGACAGTGCCCAATTATCGTCATTGCCAGCCACAGTTTATGGCAGGGGTAAGATTTTAACATAAGAATATTAAGAACATTGCCCGCCAGCAGTGGACATTCACCATAATGTCCGTTCATTAACCATAATGTCCAATTTATCTTCATTTCCCGTCACGATTTATAGAATGAGAATATTAAGAACATTGCCCGCCCGCAGTGGACATTCTCCACAATGTTCGTCCATTAACGACAGTGCCCAATTATCATCATTGCCAGCCACAGTTTGTGGCTAGGGTACTATTTTAAAATAAGAATATTAAGAACATTGCCCGCCAGCAGTGGACATTCACCATAATGTCCGTTCATTAACCATAACGTCCAATTATCGTCATTTCCAGTCACAGTTTATGGAATGAGAATATTAAGAACATTGCCCGCCCGCAGTGGACATTCTCCACAAAGTCCGTCCATTAACGACAGTGCCCAATTATCGTCATTGCCAGCCACAGTTTATGGCTGGGGTACGATTTTAAAATAAGAATATTAAGAACATTGCCCGCCCGCGGTGGACATTCACCACAATCTTCGTCCATTAACGTCAATGCTGAATTATCATTGCCACTCACAATTTACTGTCTGCTATCCGGAACATACATATAATTATCATAATCGTATGAAGTTTCGCGAGATCCGTAATCTCACAAATGAAACTAACTCGCTAAGAACCATAAAATAAACTGGAATCTAATGAAGCAATCAGAGAACATCGCGAACCGCTGCAGCGGTGCATTAACACTGTATGAAATTAACCTACGCCAACTGAGTTCGCGCTGGAATCATAAAGGACTACGGGCGTTGCATAGAAAGTGCCGGGTGCCCTTTCTCGGCATTGAGTATATAGAATTATCGCGGTGCTGAATTTAGA